CTGAATGTCTTTATCAGTTCTATGAGTTTTTCTGGTAGAGTCTTTAAGGTCTTTTATGTATGGAATCGTATGGAATCATAACTTCCAAAAATTATATATACTTTAAATTCCTTTCCACTTTGTATCTCCTTTATTTCTTCTACTTGTCTTATTACTCTAGCAAAACTTAAATACAGCCAGTATATGGAACAGGAATTGAGCATGTATCCTTGTTTTGTGTTTGTTTTTAGTGAAAATACTTTGAGTTTTTCTCAAGTAGGATTTTGGCTCTGGGCTTGTTATATATTGCCTTTATTATGTTCAGATATGTCCCCTGTATCCTTAGATTCTCCATAACTTTTATGAAGGGATGTTGGATTTTGTAAAGGTCTTTTCTGCACCTAATGAGATGACCTTGTGGTTTCTGTTCTACACTATTCTAATTAAAATTTCAACACAATTCTTTATAGAAATGGGAAAAATAATTTGAAATTTCATATAGAAAACAAAAACCCAAGATAGCCCAAACAAACTTGAACAACAGATTAAGAAAGAGATGGAGGCATTACCATCCTTGACTTCAAATTTTACAACAGAGCTACAGTAATAAAAACAGCAAGGTATTACCATAAAAACAGACATACTGAACAATGGAATATATTTGAAAATCCAGATTTAAGTTTATCTACTTACAGCCACCCATATTTTTTTTGTTTAACAGGCAGCCAAAAACCCACACCGGAGAAAAGATAGCATCTTCAACAAATGGTGCTGGCCAAACTAGACAGTGACATGAAGAGGACTAAAACTAGATCCCTATCTGTAACTATACATAAAACTCAACTCCAAATGGATCAAATACTTTAAAATAAGACCCAATACCCTGAATCTGATAGAGGAGAAAGCAGGGGATGCACTGGAACTCAGGCAAAGGAAAAGGACTTTCTGAACAGGACTCCGATAGTGCAAGCAAGTAGGTCCAACAATTTACAAATGGGACCTCAGAAGACTAAAAAGCTTCTGTACAGCAAAGGATACCACCATTTGAATGAAGAGGCAATCTGCAGAATGGACAAAAACAAACAAAAAAACTTTACCAGCTATACATCTGACAGAAGGTGTCTAGCATATACAATGAACTCAACTCAAAAATAAATAGTCCTAAAAAAAAAAAAAGTCAAAAAACAAACCCACCAAACAACCCAATAAAAAATTGGGACAAGAAACACATAGAGTTCTCAAAAGATGAAACAAATATCTGAGAAACAGTTTTTTTTTTTTAATGTTCAACATCTTTAGTCATCAAAGAAATGCAAATTGAAACTACTTGATTCATCTTATCCTAGTCAGAATGGCTATGATCAAGAAAAACAAAAAACAAAACAAAACAAAACAAAACAAAAAACAATGACAAATGCTAGTGAGGATGTATAGAAAGGAGAGCACTTTTCCACTGCTGGTGGGAGTGCAAACTGGGGCAGCCAATATGGAAATCAGTGTGGAGATTTCTCAAAAATCTATAATCCAGCCATAGCCCACTTGGGCGTATATCTAAAGGGCTCTGCATCCTACTATAGAGATATCTGCTCATCCATGTTCATTGCTGCTCTATTCACAATAGACAGGAAACAGAAACAACCTCGATATCTATCAACTGATGAATGGATAATGAAAGTATGATACATATACAAAATGGAATATTATTCAGCTGTTAATAAAGTGAAATTTTAGCCAAGTGTGGTGGCGCACACCTTTAATCCCAGCACTTAGGAGGCAGAGGCAGGTG